CGACGGCTAAAACCTTTTGAATGTTGTTCAGGGCCATGACAACATTTTTCAAGGTCAAGGCGATTGGAGGCTGTTCCTAATATTTTCATTTCTTTAAATTTTACAGTAAAAACGAAAATAATAAAATTTAAAATCATGGGGTAACATGTGGAGTCCAATTGACTCTAAAGGATCATATGAAGGTCACAATGCTTCGTCGGGGCTTCAAAGTAGCACACGTGTGAAATCCCATTAATAAATTTCTTTAATAATCATAATTGTGACTTTCATATGATTCTTTATAGTCAATCGGACTCCACATGTTACCCCATGATTTTAAATTATTATTTTCGTTTTCACTGTAAAATTTGAAGAAATTAAAATAGTAGGGACAGCCTCCAATCGCCTTGACCGTGAACAAAACATATTGCAACCCCAGAGAGCATAGAGAATTCGAAAAGAATTAAAAAAGAATTCAGTCGTATGTCACCAATTCTGAATTCACTTTCAGATGCGGAAAGAATTCTTCAGAGTTTAGTTCAATCAAAAGAATTCTTTTTGCATCTAAAGATGAACTTAGAAATAGTAATATATGACTGAATTCTTTTTGAATTCTCTGTGCTATCTAGGACGTTTTGTATACATTTTGCGGGAAATTTTGGAAATGTAGACGAAAACTCCCTAAAATATAATTTATATAAGCATAAACAAAGCATATCGCAACATTTCGTACACACTTAGCGGAGCGTTTTGGAAGTGTAGTAGAAGAGCTGATAAATGCAAATTACTGAAGCGTAAACGAAGCGTATCGTAACGTTTCGTACACACTTTGCGGAGCGTTTTGCAAATATAGACGAAGAATCCCTAAAATATAATTTATAGACGTGTAAGCAAAGCGTATTGCAATTCTTCGTATATTCTTCGTATATACTTTGTAGAGTGTTTTGGACGTATAGATGAAGCGTTTTCTAAGTATAAATTATTGAAGCGTAAAAGAAGTGTAATAGAAATATTCCTCACACGCTTCATGGGGCGTTCAAGAAATGTATTTGAAGGTTCGGTAACGCGAAGTGTTAATGGAGAGTCTAAGAATGAAGTGTCTAAGAAACGTAAATTCTATTTGTTTATGCTTCTTTAACACTTCGTGGAGCATCTCATTTTCGCCAAGACGAAATGTAGCGATGTGTGCTTTGGTGTACTTGTACATTAAGTCAAATTGAATAAAAAAGCCCTTTATCATTTTGTAAATAACCACATAGATTTTAGTTATTAATAAAAGAAAATTGTTACATGATTGTACGTGATCATATACAAATTTCTTTAATTAATATTTAAAAATCTATAGTCATTTATAAAATGGTAGACAACCTTTTGTACATTTTGATCTAAGTATACAACGGTAGACGGCGTTACTACAGCTCATCTATCATATCGCGCATGATTATTTATTATAACCTTCTTTAATTAATATCTTGGGATTTATTACGAATATCGCAAAATAACATAAAACTTTTATGTACTCCTCAATTCGTTCTACATTCTCACAAAAACTTCGGAAAAGAGTGTGGGTCCCTCTATATCTTCGAAGTGTGCATTAATTTTAAGGGATTTTTTGGTAAAAATATGGCTTTATTGTGAAAAAATGGTTACAAATTGATTATTCAAAATATTATCCATCGCTAGCCACTACTTCTTCCCATCTTTCTGGTAATAGGTGGATTATTCCACATCGAAAGAACGACACATCTTTTGAGCATATCAACCTATTTTTTGGTAAGGAAAGCGCTGCTCAGACAGACCATGAGTCATCGATCGAAATAGGTGGTAATCGGAAAGAGCAATATCTAAAGAATACGGCGGGTATGGTAGGACATCCAAGTTAAGCGCTTCTAACGTTTCCTTGACCAGTTTCGCAACATGTGGCCGAGCGTTGTCGTGCTGGAAAATCACTTTGTCGTGTCTTTTCGCGTAATCTAGCCGTTTTTGCTTCAATGTTCGGCTCAATTGTATCAATTGAGTTGATTGTTGGTAGCGTTCCCCAGTGATGGTTTCGTTGAGTTGGAGCAGCTCATAACACACTACACCCAACTGATCCCACCAAATACAGAGCATGAGCTTGGCGCCATGAATATTCGGCTTTGCTATCGATGTTGATGGTTCGCCTAGCCTGCACCATGATTTTTTGTGCTTCGGATTATCGTAGCGTATCTATTTTTCATTATCCGTCACGATACGATGCAAAAAACTTTCTCTTCTGTGTCTTTGAAGCAACAATTTTTTTTTACAATTTTGACATAGGTTTCGCTAAGTGTGAAGTTAGCCCCCCCCCCACCCCCAAAATTCAATGTTAAATAACTTTTTTTCTAGAGGTGTGCAAACGAAAACTCGACTTATTTCGAAATGTGCAAATGAAGATCTAACGATATCATATGTCAAACAATTTTATTTTGCAATTATAAATTTCGGCAAGTGTGAGTTTGACCTCCTCAAAGTTTAATGACAAATAACTTTTTTCTTAGAGGTGTGCAAACGAAAATTCGAGTTGTTTCGAAATGTGCAAACGAGAATCTATTGATTACATGCATTGTGCATGTAAGTTTGAGCAACTTGGGGGGCTAGTGTGAAGTTGGCCCCCCCAAAATTGTTTTTTCAATAACTTTGAAACTAAAGGCGTGCAAACGAAAATTCTTGAGGTGCAAACATGTGCAAACGATGTGCAATCGTTTGAGCTAAAGAAAGTTTACTTTTTTTAATGTTGGGGGGCTAGTGTGAAGTTGGCCCCCCCAAAATTGTTTTTTCAATAACTTTGAAACTAAAGGCGTGCAAACGAAAATTCTTGAGGTGCAAACATGTGCAAACGATAAGCAAACGAATTAAGTGTAGAAATTGTATTTTTTCGAATATTGGGGTGCTAACTTCACGGGGTTAATTGAAACATTTTTTACCAAAATTAAGAGCAGAACTTCATGTAAGTGGAAAAATTGATTTTTTTACTCCCTTTTTTTAGTCCCTGTCATATAGAGAATATAATCCTAAGTTTTAGAGCCCATTTCGAAGTATTAATGGCATTACGGACACGTTTATACCTGCACCGCGCGTAAGTATAAGAGCCGCCCAGCGCGTTTGCTAGACCCCTCCCGTTTCTCGAATTAATCCTTCTTGCACAATAGACTTTAACGTTTCTCAGTGGCCGAGAGGTGCTTGAGAGGGCATACACAGAATGAAAATAAGGATCTAAATGCAATGATCTGACGACTAGCTCCCAAACATTTACATACTAGCACTAAAATAATAGAAATAGCTGCTTATATTGCTGCTAGCATACTTAACGAGGGCTATTCTGCAATGCTAAAAATGATGGACGTTTTGGAATTTAAAATTAGCCAGCAAATTTACGCCAATTTATTGGACAGCAAACGATTGAGCAGACAGGAGCGCCAAGCTCGTAGCAGCACAAAGGAGGCTTCTAAATCGAATAGCTCATAAACAGAAAAAATTACAGAAAACAAATTTTTCGAAGAAACGGAGGGCCTATTGTATGGAACTGGAATTGCAGAATAGTCGAAAAAAGCCGTGAGTTTCCAGAAACTGTTATTTATTTACTCCGGTAACTTTAAACGCGTTTTTCTCAGGACTACATTTTCGCAACTTGCATACATCAAAACTCAAAAACTTTTCAACCAATTGCATTGCGCTTATGCGTGCATTATTACTTTTGTAATAGAATGAACCTATATGTAATTAATATTTATTTATTTAAACAATTTTTATTAAACAATTAAGATGAAAATTTTCCGTAAAATTTGAACTTTTTCTTTCGAAGTCATTTATTTTCACTAAATTTCGAATTTTTTAAAACAAGTTTAGGTTCATTCCTCGTGATTTTTATTTAAAAAAACAAATCTTTTAGAATGTTTGTTGCAGAATTAAAACTAAGAATTAAAATTAAGACCGCTAGAGTGTATATAAGTTTATCTCGTCAAAAACGGCCTCCGACACCGACCTCTATTAACCATAAAAATATCTACTACATTACTATTGCTCAAAGAAAATGTTTTCTAGTTCTTTGAGTGTGCATTTAAATATACTAAAAGTTTCAAAAAGATTCATCGAATTTTTTCTTTTTCAATCTCTAAAGCCTTTTCAAAGCCTATTTTTACAAAATACTACCTATCATTTACAAAAAGGGGAGTTCTCTCCTTAAGAACATGAAAAATGATGAAAAGACACAAAATAGTATCACGTGAAAACAAAGTTGAATAAACTTACAGCAGTTTGAATGTCATAAGGAGCTAAATTGGCTATCTCGGACCATCTAGTGTTAAAAAGGAATGAGAGACTGAACACAAGCGCAGATAAATAGAATCTAGGACCGAAATTAGATAAGCGAAAATATTCGTTAGAGATGAAGACAACGGTCTAACAAAATATCTAATGAAGTTGAATAAAACTCTCTTAAGATGGCGATTTGTATTAACAGGGCATTAGTAACTTAAGAGCTATTTGTACATAATAGATATCGAAGGGAATATTAAGTGTAAATTTTGTAATGAAAAAGAAGAAACGCTTTTTAGATTCTATGCCCATATCCAGCTATTATGAAATTAAGGATGGCAAATTATGGATGGTAGGTCTTCCATTTCTTGAGAAGGAAAACTGTGAGTGCACACCTATCGGGAAGGTTTTGGGCTTCATGAGAAACTTTACTCTTCAGATTACAATTTAATTCCGGAAGCATAATGAGCTTTCCAGATTAAGTGCTGTTTCTCGGGGATTAGGGGCCTCAACCGTAATATTATCAATTTGTACAAAACCGTTATAACATAATAATAACAAAATAATTATATACTACATTGTTTCTCGAAACCACAGCAGTTTGAAATCTGATATTTCTCAATAAGAAAAAGAGTTTTCTATTTTGTTTTAAATAGTGTATTTACTATTGAAGTAAATATTGATTGATTGCTTGAAAACCTGTAAATTCAATAATTTACAAATTACATAAATTGATTAAATCATACCTTCACTAGTGTACTCGTCACTAGACTCTTCATATTCATTGCTGCCGGTGTCAGATTGTCCAACTGTTGCATGTGGTTGGGTGTAACGCAATGTCCAATTCTTAGCTAATTCAAGAGTTCCTTCTGTCGTTAGCGGTTGATCTATAGCTTCCTCAAACACTTCGTTATCCTCATCAGAATCACTATAAAACAGGCAATTTTCAGAAATCAATAAAATTGTAGGTATAAAACATATATATAATTTATTTAAAAAATTTTTGATAAAATACATATAACCATCTCTCTGTAACGATGCATCCGAAAAATGTACCGTTACAAGTCGCTTTCTCTGAATACATGAAACAAAGAAGCGATTCCCTCGGCGTCGCCCGCTTCGCAAGCTGCGCCGTACCAAACGATAACGGCAAAGCGGCGAGCTGCCGAAGACAATACGTGTTGACTGAAGCCAGTCAAATGATAAACCAATCGCACGAACATCCACGAATAATAAAGAGTAATTCGAATAACAAACCACAGTAGAGACGAAAGTAGTTCTTGAACAGCTTTCCTAAGAAGTAAAGCCAATAAAGTAAAATCAACAAGCTGTTCTTGAATAGACTTTCACTATGGATACGCAGTTCTCCGAAACCGTGGAAACGCGGCACTAACGTTTCTATTACCAAAGCCGTATGCGCGGCTATCTTGATTCCGCCTACCGAAGACATGGATACACAGTGAAATCACAGTGAAATCCGGTTACCAAAGTCGTCGATACGCAGCAAGTCATTTTCGTCTTTAAGATAGCCATGCATAGACGGCTCGTTCCAGCCGGTCAAGATCGTGAATACGTGGCGATACCGCTCTCACTATGCATTAGGCTAGGCGTCCATATCAGACTGCCGACTTCACAGGCCGACTGCGACTGCCGACAATATATCAATCAGTAAAACGGCTTCAATGTGATTGATTTACTAAGAGTCGGCCATATCGGGTCGATAATTTGATATACGTACTTTAGACAACACGAGCCGACAAACAATTGCGATGTCGTCGCCAGCCTAGCACATTCGCTAACAAAAGAGCGAAGAAATGACGTGCTAGACAACAGAGCAGCGGAATCTATGCCACTTAACAAGATACAACCTTTCTAAACGATTTAACGAGACGGAATCGCGCGTATTTGCCAAATGAACATAATAATTGTAAATATTGTATATAACAACATCTAATTAAAACGACGCTGTGAAATAATTATATCAGCAATCACTTTTCCTTTCCTTGCGGTTGCACCGCAAACATACTTCTCTCATCCTCAACGACGCTACTAATACCGGCGAGAAAATATAACAAGAGGTCAGCCGTTACATCTGCTTTAATGATTTTTTAAAATTGATTAAATTCTCAGTTATTATAATATTAGGTAGCCCCAAAAGTCTTTTCGTTTCCTTATTAGAAACAGAATATATCATAAATAACACAATTTACTCAGTAAGCAAATTGAGCGCAGACTGACGTCAAATTGACATCAGATTCGAGCAAACCCTGTCGTCGGATCCATTGTCACCTATCGAGCTAATAGGCTGTTAGACTGTCGACAGAATCTGCTAACAGAATCTATCGACAGATTGGCGGCAGATTGCGCGCAGATCCTGTCGTTTCGTGGGTTCTTCAATTGAATCTTTGGTAGAAAATTTTCTCATAATTTTTCATAATTACTCATAGAATGAGCGCTTTCTCATAAATATTCATAAATACTCGTAAAATACAATGAAAAAAAAGTTTTTCTATATTATTTTTTCATAATTTTTAAGATTTTCTCTGGTGAGATTCAAACTTGAACCGAAGACATATTTTGGATAATCGTCCGTCGCCTTAGACACTACGCCAATTCCTTACTTGAAAAAAGTGCTTTGTATTGTCCACTTAAGGTTTAAGGAAGAAAAATCTTAGAGTACGTTCGCCTTTTAAACCGTAACATATAGACGAAACCGTTTAGCGTATAAATAATGTAAGAGAGACCGGCACGATAATTCGAAATTAATTTTCTACCAGAGACTCTATAGAAAATCACTGCAATAAAACAGCAGATAATGACATTTTTCCATCGTGCTAATAAAATATTGTGCTTTTACATGTACGAATTAATTTCGTCGATCTTCCAGTTCAGATTGTATTAAATTTTATCAAAGTTTTATCAAAATCGAAGCATGATATACTTCCAAATAAACCATCAAAAGATCTGCAAAAGTTATTTACATGGCGAAGCCAATATTTTACTCGGTGCTGCTGCGCCTTCAGTACTTATTGCATGACGATTAAATCGTTCAGATTTAATGACATAATGACATTAAAAAAAAATAATAACAATACGAGAAATTGTATGAAAAATTATGAGAACAATTTTTACCAGGGATAGCATATGTACGCCTTTAAATAGCCATTTAAACTGGCCATTTAACCATTGTACTATTCTATACCTGTACTCGTTATTATATCGTATCGTTTATTTCTCTATTATTTTTACTTTTAAAAGAAGTGTATAATACAATTTTAAAAAGTAAAAATTATTTTTTATTATGTATATGTGTTCACTTATTGCACAATATAATTATCTTGACTCCTCTCAGAGTTTTACATGATGTGCATATGAAACTACTCCATTTAATAGCATACATATCCATACAGCAGAGGTGTCCAAAATATATCATAGAGATATCCTAAAGATATATTTCGGATATGTGATATCTTCAAGATATCCCTATGATGTATTTGGGACATTCCTGCT